CCCATTTTTTATGATCACTCAATATATCTTATTCTATGTTAAAAATAATTATTTTAATTAAATTTTGCATATAACAAAATTTTGTAGTGAATTTCATTATAGATTTAATTTATACAATAAAATAAATTTCAAAATGTATAAATTTTATACAGATTATATTATTAAAAATTTATTCTAAATAAATATATTAAAAAAATAAATAGAATTACAATAAAATATGAGTAATTCTTGTGCGGTATTTAAAAAAATCTAATTTAATAATTATAATATAATTAATACAAATGAGTAAACATAAATAATTCTTATTATCCCCAAAAGTAGGAAAATCGGGATCGGGCTGGGTCGGGCCTTGTAATTTTTTTTAAATATATCAACTTTATGTTAAATTTTTTATGTAAAATAAAAATATTTGATTTTATTTACAAAAACTAGACGCATATTGTATATAATTTTATTTATAGATTGAAGCCAATTTTTAATAATATTTTTCGCAATAAGGAAATTTTCTTTCGGAGGCTATGGGGGAGGGGGGGGGGGGGTTCAACTCCCCCCCCTTCTCTAAGCCACTTGTATGGACATGTTATGAGAAGGACCTAAAAACTATATAAGTAAGCAAAGTTAAGAGTTTAGATGTGATGCATAAACTACGAAGACCTAAACACCAATATGCTCACAAATTTAAAGCCTATCACGTAATATAATTGAATAAAATGGATTGTATGAATAATATAATATGAAGAGATATTGAAGGAGCTTACAACCTGAATGTGAAAGCTAAAGGGGAAGAAAATTACAATCTATAGTATTAAATTCATTTTCATCTACAATACCATCATCGTCTTCCTCTGCTGAAATAGTAACTTTTTCAATGGCTGCTAATATTTCCTAAATCTCACAACAGAAAATGTTAAATACCATTCTCTTTTTCTATGGGTTGTTTTGGTTAACTAATACAATCAAACATGACATTTTAAAATATTTTTATTTAAAAAATGCTTTAAAAGTAGCGAAGACAAATGTTACATTATCCAAACAAATATAACGTTTATATAAGCTCTTCATTGCAGGTAGCAACTGCGATAAACATAATATACATAACAGATTCACATTCTCTCAATCAGGGCTGCGATCCCAAACTCTCGAGATTTTACTGATCGAACCTGTTTTTAAATTTAGGGTTCATGAATTGTTCCTTTTATTTTTCAATATTTTGAAAGATATAAACATTACTTTTAAATGTTTTGTATATTGTTATTCTAATTTTGAATTATTTTTATAGTGAATGAATTAGGGGGCTCCAGTGGACGAATTATAAGTTTGACCGTCCATGGTTTTTAAGAAAAATTTATGAGCCCATTCATTTAAAATATGCCCCCCCCCCATCCAATTTTCAAAATAATTTGCTCTTTATTTAATATTGTAAATTTTAAAAAAATACGCAATATTTTGAAATAAAAATATAAGCTCGTTCTGTTCATTTCACCAGAAAAATATTTTAAATTCACCCACCCGTTTGCCCAGTTTTAAAAATAATTTTAACCCCATCCAATGTTCAAATTTTTTAGACGGCTTACCCAAAATATGAGCAAATCTAGAATGAATACTAAATTTTAAAAAAATTATGTTTCTGGTATTTTAACTAAATTTTATATTCCTCATTTTTCTTGATATTTTTCACTGTCAAGTATTATTATTCATTGTGAAAGGTCATATGGTTGGAAATAAAAGTGATTGAGCATTTTAGATGATATAGTTTAATAACCTCGTATCAGGTCAATTCAGGGAAACTTTTATCGCGAAACACTTTTTCGCGAAACTTTTATCGCGAATGTCGTTTATCGCGAAGGAATTTTATAGCAAAGGTAATATAGCGAAACCAATTCCGTGAATTTTTTTCTACGAAACATTTATAGCGAAGACAATATCGCGAACTTATTATCGCGAATTTATTTCCGCGAAACCTTAACCGCGAATACTTTATAGCGAATACATTTTGGCGAAACTTTGATCGCGAACTCGTTATAGCGAATTTATTTCCGCGAAACCTTAACCGGGAAACTTTATAGCGAATACATTTTAGCAAAACTTTTATCGCGAACTCTTTATAGCGAATTTATTTTCGCGAAACTTTAACCGCGAATACTTTATAGCGAATACATTTTGGCGAAACTTTGATCGCGAACTCATTATCGCGAATTTATTTCCACGAAACCTAAACCGCGAATACTTTAGAGCGAATACATTTTAGCGAAACTTTGATCGCTAACTTGTTATAGCGAAACTTTAATCGAGAACCATTTATAGCGAATTTTCTACCGCGAATGTATTTGCGCGAAATTATTATAGCGAGCACATGACCGCGAAAATTGTGAATTCATTTTAAGTGAAATTGATATATTCAATATCAATTTACCAACCGAAGTTTCTTAAATCATAAACGCGAATGTTTTAAGAATATTTTATTACGTATTGTTTATTTAATAAGCATGTAACCTCTATCTGATGTGATAGAAAATATATTAGTCTTCCTGGTCTCACTCATGGTTGTAAGTATGGAGCGGACATTTTGGGTTAAGTTTTTACCAGAATAAGTTAACCCTCCCCCCAACATAAAATTTAAAAGTGTGCTTTATGTCATTTAAAGTAATACTTTATTTCTAATCTAGATAAAAAAAATATACTGAAAGCTAAGAATTTTTTTAATATAATCTTATAACCATATTAACTCATAATGTAAAAATTTTTATAAAAAATATTAAGGCCCGACCCGGGTTTAACAATCTTAGGCCCGGCCCGGATATATTTTTAAAAAAAATTTTTAGGCCTGGCCCGGATATGTTTAAAAAAAAATTTTTTAGGCCTGGCCCGGGTATATTTAAAAAATTTAAAATACGGCCCGGCCCTGGCCTGCAGGTCTCTGATTAATATATTGATAAAGCTGAGTTCCTTGTGCGCGATTATTATAAAATAAGAACTTCGAAGGAAAGGATAGGATAGCGAAAAAAGTGTATTTCAATAACAAATTTCATAAACCAGATCTAAGTTAATTAATCATTATATATATTTTTTAAGGTTAAAAGAAAATTACAAACTATGTGAATTAAAAAAATATTATTCAAATAATATAATTATAAAAAAATGATTCAAAATAAATTAGTCATTAGCAATTATCGCGATATTAAATTCTCTATAATATCTTCGCGATATATGTTTCGCGAAATAATTGTCGATACATTGTCTTCGCGATAATAACTTCGCTATAAAATTTTCGCGGTAATGTATTCACTTTAAAGGTTTCACGATAAAGGTTTTGCTATAAAATTTTCGCGGTAATGCTTCAAATGTTTTGCGATAAGTTTCGCTATAAAATTTTCGCGGTAATGTATTCGCATTAAAGGTTTTGCGATATTTGTTTCGCTATATTGTATTCCTGGTAATGTATTTGCATTAAAGGTTTTGCGATAAAGGTTTCGATATAAAAAATTCGCGATATTGCATTCGCGGAATAGTATTTGGTATTGTGGATTCGCGATAAAAGTTTCGCTATAAAATCCATTCACGATAAAAGTTTTGCGAAAAAGAGTTTCGCGATAAAAGTTTCGCTGAATTGACATGGAACCCAATAACCTTTTGCCCTACCCAGTTTTACACAAGGCTGTATCTCAATATCGGATGAGTTCCTTATAAAATTAATTTTGCTAACATTTTTTTACTTACTTTTGAAAAATAGATTTTAAGTTAAAAAAAATTTGAGCCTTAAGCTCACACGGCTAGTAACACCTCTCATTTCAATATCTTACTTTAAAAATTCTAAAAAAAGAAACTATTTTCTAAAATATTTAAATAGATTATATAAATTTTTAAAGGAGAAATTTTTTTTAAAAAATTTAGGGTCTACAATGGATAGGTTAGGTTTAAACCAATTGTCTATTGAAGCAAAATTTAACCCTCTCACCTGCTCATTTATGTAAAAAATTTTATTTAAACCACCTATTTAAAAATTATATTATTGGTTGTTGGGTCTTTATTTATTTTTACTTACACTTATAAAATATGCAATATTATTAAGTAAAAAAAATGATTTTTATTAAGTCTATTCTGCCAGGGATCCAAACCGACCGAACTGTTAAACCGCTAAAAACCGGTATTTTTTATCAAACCTGAATCGAACCTAAACCGCTAAAAAAATTTCTAGCTGAATCTGAACCGAACTGCTAAAATGCCTAACATGATTTTATTCTTATAAAATAATTTAGCATATTAAAAAATTTCAATTATATTTGAATTATTTTAAAGATTATCATAAATCTATAAACTTTAGTATATTGTCATTTTACAACATTTTTTAAATATTTCAAGCTTATAAATTATTATGCTTAGAGAAAAATTAAATCCAAAATATTATTATAAATGACATATCAAATCTGATATCATATTGGGCAGTGCCGGCTACCCAAGTTAGTGTGGAAAGATGTTTTTCAACAATTAAATTTATACTATCTCTTTATAGATGTAATTTGAGTGAGACGAATTTTGAAAATATATTAATTGTGAGGCTTAATAAAAAAAAATTTAAGTAAAAAAAGTAAAATATTGTTCATATATAAAATTAAACATTGATATTTATTTTTATATTTATAAATTAAATATTATTTTATTATGTGCAATTAATAAAAATGAAGGTTTTATATATGTGTTTTTTAAATTAATGATAAAATAAAAAAATATCTTCCCTATACATAATTCGAATGTAGGTTTGAATACAAAAGTGTTCAAACCAGTTTTTGAGATTGGAACCGAACCGATATTTTATTTTTTTACGAACCGTACTTGAACCTTGAACCGTTATTTTTATCCGAACCTGAACCGATATTCGTTTCGGTTTGGATCCCTGATTCTGCTCATTTCACCCGAAAAATATTTCAAAGTCATTCGCCTATTAATAGACAATCTATAGGTGTAAAGTGCTACTGAAATAAGATTATTTATTAATCCAGTCATTTGATCTTAAATCTTTATTTATAAATATAATATATAAAGTATATTTATCAAATAATAATTAATCAATTTCACCAAATAAATTAAAAACAAATTATAATTATTTGGTATAAGAATGATTATTTAATTTAAAAAATATACAAATGAATTAGTAACACTATAATTATAATATACATTCTAATTCGCTTCTAATATAGTAATTTTTTGGATCATTTTCGACTTTAGGGAAAGAGGGAACAATTGCATCTTGAGCTCCGATGTAAATGGTGTTGTAAATTTTCCAATACACATCTCTAACTTTTCTAGCAGGATGAAATAAACCCTTTTAACATATGTATAATTGAATTATATAATATATACTTAAACTAAAAAATGTATTCTTAAAATTCAGATCAATGCAAAACAAATTTTTTTTTATTATAAAGATAATCATAATAACGAATTTGTGCACTTCAAAAATAATCAAACCCAATATTTGAAATATGGCTTAAATATTAATTTCTTAAAAATTAGTGTTTTATTTAAAAGACAGTTTAGAACCAGCACTAGAAGAAATCTAGGAACTGGGACCCCCTTCTAAATTTATAGGAACAGGAACCTATTTAAGATTTTGAGGAATAAGAACTAAAATGCAAATAATTTATATGTAAATTGTTCAAAAATGGTAAGGTTATTTAGTTATTAATCATTTTCCTATTGCTCAATAAAAGATTGGAATGGAAACCATTAGATCTAGAGCCAAAACCTCCCTTTAAAATGTTTAGATATCGGAATAATCATTTTAAAAATATTCAGATAATAAACCAGTACCTTTTTATAGTCCAGATTCCAAACTCTGATTACCCAATAAAAAACATAAATTTTTTTAGAAATTAAGTCTAACATATAAAAGGAAATTAGTAATTTGTTATTACATAACAAATTAAAAATCTACAAGGGTAAAATATCTAAAATTCCCCCAAAATTTGGTTCTTAGTTTTCCCCTTATATATTTAGAATCTATATCAATATAATAAGAAAGGCAATACCAAAAGTTATCCCAATGGCTTCAAATCCAAATACCCATATATCAACTGAAGCCGATCCTTCCCTGCCTCAGGCCTCTTTTATTCACCTCTTAAGATAAGAATGCCTAATCCCTGTGTTGTTTTCAACAATATCCTCTTTCATATATTGTTGAAAACTTTGTGTTCTTTAAATTATTTTAATATCTTATAATTAGAAACGTGAACCAGAACAAATTAAGCACCGAAACCAAAAGCCTCTTTAAAATTTTTCTAGTCTTTGAAAATTAAAAAAAATAGAAATAAGAAATCTTAATAAGATGTCAAAAATTTTAAACCTGCATGGCATATAATAGTATTCGGGTAGGTCCTAGAGCAACCCTCATACCCTCTATAGCTTCGTGAACAGCTAATATGACATGGGGAGAACATTCGAAAAGATTTGGCCATACGTAATTGAGGAGATGAATCAAGGCGTCTTCACAGCCAAACCCTACAACCCCTAAGGCCAAGTGTTTAATTCCGGCACAAGCTGTTTGCCGGTGAACGAGATCTCTATAAATGGTGTATATATGATGAATATTTTATTTAATTTAAATATTTGTGAAACATTTTAAGTTTTCATATGTTGACATAATTTTTACCAAATTCATTTCAAAAATATAGTATATCAGGTAATGATTCCAACCTATCACTCAAGGCGTCTTCGAGAAGTGGAGTGACAGCATATATGTAATCTTTCGCCATCTCACCAATGTATTCAAATAGAAAAGACAACGACTTTAAAACACCGTTTTGTACGTTCAGTTCAGGAACACGGTATTCGTTCATCAGGGCTAATGATTAATTTAAATAATATTCAAAATTGTTAATAAATCACAACTTAATAATATTTAATTTAAAATAAATATGAAATTTTTGCTAAACCAGGTAAAACGGTAAATGGAGAACAAGTTTCAGCAACAATGGCTATAGCTACTGTAGTGCAAACACGATTTTGCCTTTCTTGTACTTTTAAGTTGTTTAGCAGGGTTGCCAGTACATCGTGTGGCCTTAAAATTTATTTAAAAATAAGAAAATATCTATAATTGTAATATTTTTTGTAAAATATTTTGATATTTTTTTGCACCTATTAAATAATCATTTCTCCCCATTAAACTATAAAATTTCCAGACAAAAGAGTTCTTGTTAATATAAAATAAAAATGAAAAAAGGAACTCGAATTTGTGGTTGAGTAACATTCATATCTAATTTATATGCGCAATATTTATACCCAATAGCTTTGGCGATATATCCAAAGGTGTTAACTGTAGCCCTTCTTATTGCTTTTTTATGGGCTTTCAAAAGTTCTAAAAGTTCAAAACATATCCTCATCCATTCTCTGGCAGATACGAATTCAGAACCCCGATCAGCTATTCTCCCGACAAGGTCTATACAGTTTTCCTGCACTTTTTCGTGTCTGATTATGTTATTTTTTTAAAAAAACTGTTTAATAATTATGCATTATTTATAAAAAATTACTATTAAAGCATCATATCAATAATATTTTTTAATTAAAATCCTCATTCTATTGAAAAATAAAAAAAACAAATAGGCTTAATTATTTCATTTTTTGAAAAAGATACCTATTTTTAAGAATTGGTGTTAATCGTGGTAAAAGCTCTTTGATAGGGGGAGTCATTTTGGTCATTCCTATAACGTTGACTATACTTTTTAAAGCTCCTAAAATGCTTCCCAAAACTTCAGGATACTCCTCGCCCAAGTATTCATATAGCACTACACCTAAATGTCCCATTAACTTTTCCTGTATATGAATAAATCTTTTAAACTAATTTGACAACGTGCTATTTTCTGGATGATTAAAAACTCTCGATAAAAGTGTAAAGATAAAACCGTAAAGATAAAACCGTCAGACTATTTGCCAAACAACGACCATATTATATTATAATGTAATAAGACCCATTTTATAAATACTAAAGGGCAGAATCATGGTGTCGACTTCTATATTCTATAAATCACCCCATCTAGGGCGAAGCCACCGAGTTGGTTTCAGGATAGGGTAGTTGATGAATTCGAACCCATATTTATGCGATTATTAATCTAGCTCACAGCCGATTAGGCCACAGGATTCCATGCCAAATCGATGGAAAAATTATCGGCCAACCCCTTAAATTGTTAAAATTTCTGAAGTAAATTAGATAGGCAAAAAAATGAGTAAGCCGTTTATTTTAGCTCACTTGCACACCTGGTTCCGGAGATACAAGGCCTCAAAAAGGTGCAAAAAAGCGACTTTCGAATCTGCAAAATTTTTTAATGCTTGTATCTTAAAAACTGTTTATAGTAAAATAAAAAATATATATCATACTGTAGGTAAAAAAAAATTCTAAAGGTCAATAGAAAGAAAAAAAAAGTGGTCAATTTAATTCTTTAACTTTCGATTTACGTTTATCTGTGGTTCGTAAGCAATAAGGAGTTGATTTTAAAAATTTATTCATATTTTACAAATATATATACGATGTAAAAACCTTGGCGACATTGTCGGCTCTTCCGAAATATGCATTTTTACCAAAAATTGATATTTCTATTTGCATCAAATAAATGGCGCTATATGAAACTATGGATTATGGTTAAAATTTGGATACTAACTTACCAATAACAGGATAATTTCATTTTATACTATATTTCGAATTTTTGTGCTATTCCATGTCAAAACCGACTAGCCCTTTTAAAATTACTAAAATTATTTAGACCGGTTAAAAAAATAAGAAATGTACATATTCCAAAAATATACTGTCAGCTACTTAACTCACCCAATTTCTCAAGATGAAATTGAAGCGAAATTTTATTCAAATTAGAATTGCAAATATTAAACATAACATTTTCCTTGAAATTAATGCGAATCTAATATATGGAAAAAATAAATGAATAAATTATATGTATCTATGACATTCCATAGTGGATAGTAGGGGTGTACCGATATCACTTTTTAGAGGACGATCCGATCCAATATTAAAATGATATCGGCCGATTACCGATCTGATATCATATCTAATTTTGTATTTTGTAAAAATACCAATGGTTTTAATTTTTATAAACTTTTTATTAGTGTAACATCTATAATTTAACTATACCATAACTTATGTCATTTAAATACATTATAATGATCAGTTATAGTTTATATTCAATTCAATTGTAATTCTAAAAATATATAAAATATTTTTAAAATATTTTTATTGTTAAATCACTTTTATAATTAAAAATAACGTTAAAATATATACATAATAAGTAATAAACAAATATATTATGAAATTTGAAAAAATATTATATTAAAAATAATATTTAACATTAATATATCGAAGATTTCTATTTAAAAATAACAAATTTTCCAATTTGTCAGAGGTCAGCCTGCGGCAATGGTAACTGTCAATATCACCAGATTCACTAAAAATTGTGAAGAGATTATTTTATTACACACTTTTATAAACAAAATGCGCAAAAAATAACAATATGGCAGAATGTTTATTAATTAATTATTATTATTAAAATATACAAAATAAATTCAGATTTTATTTATAAAAACAAATGATTTTAGATAAAACTTTTTTAAAAAATTTTATAACATATTTTTGTTAAAGACGCCATTTTATATCGGATCGGGAAATTTTATAATAATGGCCGATAGCCGAAATGGGTGAAATATAGGCCCAATCCGATAAAAATAATAGTACATTCCTAATGGATAGCCTATGTTTTAGAATTTTTTTTGAAAAAGAGGTGTTAGTTACTATTTTGCATTCTCAAGGACCCATCATTTCTTACCTCTTACCGAGTGACAAATTGCGAAGATATAAATCACATATTTTAAATGTGGCCAGTCATTCAACTTTATACCCTGCGAACATATACTTTACAAAGATGAGACAAGGAATGAATTTGATTATCAGTATTTCTATATCATTAATAAAGATGAATGTTGAAGGTGTTCGTGAACGAAGTTCGTTTTTTACATGCGTACATTTTTAGAAAATATTCTTATTTTTATTCATTTGAAAATAAAAAATATTAATCCAAATTTTTTAAGAAAAAGGGTTATTTTTAAATCAGTTGCTTCCTTTATCATATTTGAATCTTTTTAACCAGCCACTTTTTCTGTCCTATAGTAGTTAATTTGAATATTCATCATCATCTGATTTTGATAATTCAGAATCAGTTAACACTTACCATGACTCAAACATAATAAATACTTTACAGTAAAATCATATATTAAATAAACTAATTCTATCCAATAAATGTAAAATGTGCCCAAAATATCAGTTTCAAAATTTCAAGTTCTAATTTAAACTAATACTTAATTGTAATATTTATTATTTTATATAATATAACTATAAGTATCCTGTTAATAATTTATTTTAGATTATTGTGTTTCATAGGCTTATTAAATTATTATAATAAATATACATAAAGTAAAAATAACGTAATATCATATTAAAAACATAGATATAAAATGGTTAATATCTTTTAGAATTTATTTATTTTCAGCGTATTTATTTTTAAATTTTTATTATTTTTATATTGACAAACTATTATTTTAAACATGGCTATACATCGTGTTAAAAAATATATGGTAATTTTTATATTAAATTAAATATAAAATGAAATTTAAAAAAAATTTATTCGTAAAGTTTTGAACGAACGTGAACGCGTTCAATTTTTTTTAAATGCTTAGAGCACTAATAAAAATGTATAATAAAAACATTACACAAAAGATTTATAATTGGAAATTTGATACCTTATTCAGATTTCTAATGGACATTTGCCATCACTACTCCTCATTTTAATTTGTACTTTATTATAAACTGGAAATATTTAAGTAAAATATGCTATTATTGGTAAGTTAGCAAGAAAATTTCATCAATGATCTGTAGTTTCGTATAGTGCCATCTATTTTATGGAAATAAAATTTTCAATTTTTGGTAAAAATGCATATTTCGGAAGAGCCGATAGCGTTCCAGGGTTTTCACATTGTATATATATTTATAAAAGATGTCTAAATAAAAGACAAATAAAAATTTAGAAACCAACTTCTCTTATTACCTAAAAACATGGGCCATAAACGTAGTAGTTAAAAACTCAAATTGCCACCATATTTTTTTCTTTTTATAGACCTTTAGAGAGTATTTTTACCAACAATATGATATATTTATTTTATTTTTATCTAAATAGTTTTTGAGATATAAGTGTTTTAAAAATTTTACAGATTCGAAAAGCGCCCTTTCACACAACTTTGAGGCCATGTATCGCGGGAACCAGGTGTGATAGCGAGTTAAAATAAACAGCCTTTTCATTTCTTACCTATCTAAATAATTCCAGATTTTTAGGATTTTAAAAAAAGGTTGACCAAGTCATGATCTAGGAATAGCCGACACAGAAGACATTAGAAAACAACAATTTTTTTGATATATAATGATAAATAAATGATAGAATTTACTACTACTCAGGCTAAAACTTATAAAAGTATTATAAACAATGCTAAAAAAGACATATATTATTTTTTTTAAACTTCTTGGCAAGTCTTCATAACAAGAGTTATGCGAGAGATAAGATCAGCCGCCTGCTGCCTAACCTTGGCTGATTTATTGTTCAATCTCCATAGTATTGTTCCACAAATCTGAGGTAGATAGGGCTTAACCCTCTTCCCTAAACCATTGACCACAGCACCAAAGCCGTTCAACATTACAATGTCCTTTAAGTTAACAAATTATATATAAAAAAATTGCATAGATTGTCCAAGGCTCATAATTTGAGTTTTTTACAAGTATAAAATATATATTCATTTTTAGGTGAGGTGTCAACTAGAGATGGGCGCGGGCCTAATTTTTTATTCACGGCCCGACCGCTCACGGTGGCAATAAAAAAATTCACGCCCATTCACGCTTACCACTAAAAAAATTTCGACCCGACCCGCCCGCTCACGACAAGCAATATTTTGATTCACGCCCGAAAATTCACGGTGTTTTTAAATTTTTCAAAACTATTGCTATAATTTCACACATTTTTGAATTCATTCTATTTATTTCTCTAATTTCATAATCCATATTAATAACAAAAATAAATACAATCAATAAATCGAAATTTATTTAGAAAAAGAAGAATGTCCTTTTTTTATTTCAATTGTGTACGCCTTTCCTCTAATAAGAGATTGGCTACAGAAAATAACCTTTCACTATAAGTCGAACTTGCCGGGGCTGACAAGATTTTACTCGCTAATTTTCTCAAAAAAGGAAATGAATATTCCTGCTTCCAAAACTTCAAAATATTGTCTTGTTATTTATCTTATATGAATCTTTTAAGTTCATCCTCACAGCTTTCATTGGCGATGTTGATGCTTCATCAGAATCATCTGGAAATTCTCTAAATTTTTTATTTAGAATGTGTAGGATGAATTAGGAAGGTGATAGTTGGTCTTGGTATCATTTAGAATATACGGTTTTTTATGAGTTTAGGATAAGTTAGGAAAGTTATAAATGATAGTTGGCATTGACTTATGCATATCATCTAATTCATTTTTAAGATTGTTTTATATATATCATTTTCTTCTTTTATTAAAAACTTAAGTCTTTTGAAATTCGGATCTAGAATTAAGCCTACCTTATGTAGTGGCTGCATAATAATCTTTTAAAAGAAATCTTGTTCTGTATTTTAAAGTTTTGATTATTATTGTATCACGTTCAGAATGTTAACAAAATTTTATTAATTTTTGTTTCCATAGACAAACTTCATTTATTGTGGGACGAGAATCTGCTCTCAGATTATCCAAGCATTCTTTAAATATTGATAAAAATTTAACTAACTCGCGTACGATGTTGATATCAATTGTGGCTAATCTATTTAATTCTTGCTTGCTAAACAAGTACACCTGTATTTCAGAATATGATTTTAAGAAACTCTTTATCATGATATACAGAGTTCCATCTAGTTATTCTCGCTATTACATCTTGTTTAAGGGTGTGGCTTAGTTTGCTATTAGCTGTAGATTGTTTGAAATATTGTACTATTTTTTTTGGTAATAGGAAAAAAAACCCCAGGAAAATAAACCCCCAGGAAAAAAAAAACCCCGGCAAAAAACCCCCGGAAAAAAACCCTCAGGAAAAAAAAACCCTTGGGATTATTTTTATACACTCTCATATTTAAGTATAATCTAGCAATAATTTATATTGAATTGGTATTTAGTCAATTGCAAGTTAATAATTTGTTAAAAATATTATTGTTCAGCAACTAGTTAAATGAACAGATATTAAAATGTATTATGACCGTATATAAAGACAAAAAAAAAATTTTAATTTACAAAAATATTTTATTCATAAAATTTATATATGACCACGGTTAAGAGTATCATTGGTATGATTATTAATATGTTTAATAATTTATAATTATTTTTTCAATTAGGGGATCACATCGTAATTAGAGGATGTTTTTACCATTTGTGTCAAAGTACCCATAGAAAAATTCAGAAGCTGGGTCTGGAAAACGAATACAGGACCAATGATACTCTAAGTTTTTTTTGTGACATGATAAACGGCTTAGCATTCGTTCCGTTATGTGATATGGGCAATGCAATGACATTCCTGAGATCGGTTATTCCGAGCAATGGTAAGGATATTCTTAATTATTTCGATAAAAATTATGTCAATGGAGTATCAAGGGAGGTCATAAGAAGCAATTCTAAATCCCAAACACGTCGAATTGAGCCTCGATTTTCTCCAGAAACCTGGAACGCGAATCAGAGCACTCTCTCAGATGAAGAACGAACAAATAACCAATGCGAAGGTTGGAATCATCGTTTTTCTAATCTGGTTGGGAATAAACACCCATCAATCTGGGTACTCATTAAAAAAATGAAATGCGAGGTGGCTGCCAATGAAACCAAACTTGAAAGATGGCGCGTAGGTAGTTGGACATCGAAATCAAAATCGCAGAGTTCTAACAACCAGATTCAGCTAAAGAAACTTTGCGAAGAATACCGTGATGGGGTGCGAAGCCTTCCAGATTTTATAAAAGCGATTTCCTTCAATATTCGATGTCAACCGATATAATATTATTATAAATAATAAAATTTGTATATACATAATCATGATTTACCAATAAAATAAACATTTCTTATCATGTCAAATTTATATCATATTTAAAGATGGTATTGTATTTTTACTATAGCAAAATTTTTTTACAATTCATAGTTATTTTACTGAGGCATTTTTTCCCAGTACCAATTTAAACATCAGTTTTTCTTATTTAAGAATTTTTTTATGAAGAGTAGGCCAAATAAAAATATACCTATATTATTAGGTCTTAAGTAAATTCTATAAAAATGAAAAAAAATTATTGGGGAATTTTTTTCCGGGGGTTTTTTTCCGGGATTCATTTTTTTTACACCATTTATATTTATGGCTATTTCAGTTAAACAATTGTCAAAAATATAATGCATAATATTATTGTATATGGCATATACATGCAAGCATTTCGTCATCTTTGAATGCACTTATAAGATTTGCTCCGTTATCACTCACAACACATTTATTTAAGTATTTTCTACTTCTGTATATTCTCCTAAATTGAATTGATTACACTTTTATTTTGACGTTTTTATCATCCATTGCCATTGTGGCCAAAACAAATGTTTTTAATTTAAAATCCTTAATGATAATATGTCCTATAATGGTTAAAAAACTTAGATTTTTATAGTCATCTGTCCAAATATCAGTGATTATGGACAAGTAATTATTATTGATCATACTTTTATTTTAAATTTTATTTCATGGTATATTTTTGGACCTATAGTATTCATGAGAGTTTTCCGGTTCACAACTTTTATATTTTGTTATCCATATGTAACACCAACATTTATCTCTTGGCCTAACTTGTAAAATCCTTCACTTTCTGTTGCATTTAAAGATTGAAGATCTTTATAAATAAAATATAACTGACTTTTCTGTAAAAAGTTTAATCAAAATTTAGCATAAAGTCTCGCGACAAAAAACACCTAAACATAAAAAGAAAATAGAACTAACTAAATGATACCGGATGTTGTTTATAAAATGCGGATGATTTTTAATTTTTATTCTTTTTTAAAAAAGAACTAAATTAAATAAGAAAATCTATAATATAATTATAAAATTGCAAATTTATAATTATAAAAAAACAATTTAAAAAAATTAAAATTTCCGTGATTCACGGGAAATTTATGTTCACGCCCGATCACGCCCGGGGAAAATTTTGGGAAGGCCCGTCATGCCTTGGAATTCAAAATTTATTCACACTCACGCCGTGACACGATGGGTCACGCCTAATTTCAGTGCCCGCGCCCACCTCTAGTGTCAACTGATTCCAAAAATTGGCATTATTCTATTAAATCTATTATTTTTAAAAACCCATGAAATTGATAATTTGATGATAAACTGAATTATTTTACCTCTCACTATTTCCTCAATCATTACACTAAAATTTAAAACATATCATGTAATCTAAAAAAGTTATTATTTCATGTAAAGATGGATGTGTAATTTAAGCCCAACCTCGCTGGTCTGTTCTTGAAACGCGTATAAAATACCGTCTATTAACTGTTCTTCAAGTCGAGAATCTATATCGGCAGCTCCGAGATTATTTATAACGTTCTCAATAGTTTCCATTACCATTTTACGGAAGGCTTCGTTCTCGTCTTTTAAATCATCTACAACGCGACCTTTAGAAGATGTTGTTTTTGTAATTAACATAATAATGAATAATTTTTTAATAAACTTAATTTTTGAAATTACTATAATTTATTTTATTGAGAAAACATAAAAATAGATTTTAAAATGTTGCAAAATGTGTTCGATGAGGATTTATATTTTTTCTTACATCTATAAAGAAATAATATAGCCTATCTAAATAATTAAAAGGTGTTTTATATAAGAACCTTTAGTAAGCCCAGCCTTAAATGCCCTATATGAAGAGCTGTATCCGGGATATTTTGGAACCCATTCTCAGAATTGGTACCAGATTGGCAGCTAATTTTTATGCATAAACATCTTGGAATATCGATATAAAATTAAACTTGTCATACATAGCTTTTTTTCAGGAACTTTCTTCCAAATGGTGAAACGCGTTTTGATATAGGTTGATTCACCACTGCTTAAGTTATAGATTCTACAGGGAAAGTAAAAAAAACTCCGCTTTATTTAATTATTCAACACATTCGTATTTATAAAACTTCCAAGAAAATTTCTTCCATTATTAGTGGTAGTCTTTTTGAATGATGTGGCCTATTTGGCAATACCTGATTTAGATCAGTTAGTTCTAATAAATATTTGGAATAAGGATAACTAAAAGATATAACTTCTGTTTTCGGAAGCTCAGGATCATTTTCCTAATTTTGAATCTTGGTATCTTTGTTATTTTCACCTTCATCCCCCAAATTAACTACATTTACATTTTCTCCTTGTTTCTCATGAGAATATATAGTGCAGTTGACGCTATTAGGTATTTCAGTTAATGTTGTTAAAAGCCCGATTCGGGTCTATTTTCCCGATTAAAATTTTAGTCAAAATAATATGCTTGGAAATTTTGATGTCAAATCTTGAAGCTTACATAATATTATTTTGACTAAAATCTTAATCGGGCCGTTTTCAAAAATCGACCCAAATCGGGCTTTTAAAAACACTAATTTTAGCAGACATGAATGAATAGTATTTAAAACTGATAGTGGTTTGAACAGCAGTTATTTCTCTCAAATTATATTCGTATTTATTTTAAATTAACCTAAAAAATATTTTCCATAAACCAAAAGAATTTTTAAATGGGGAAGGGGGATTTTCAGGGCAATGCCAATATTAAATTAGATAATCGGCTAATATATTTACCATTCAAAAAAAATCGGATCAAACCAATATATATAAAAAACTAATCCAATTATGATTGTATACATAATAAAATAATATACTATTTATTTTATTCATAATTTACTAATAATAAATGTTTGAAAGAAGCCAAAAACTTAATTTCTGTAAAGTTTAAAAAAATCGAATTCTTTTATAAAGAATGAGTAGCTAAAAATATCTATTAATTAAATATTTTAAATAGCTTATACTTGGAACTCAATTGGTTTAGTTATGTGACTTATTCAGGTTTGAAAAAGTGTCACAATCTACCTCGATCTCTCCTATATGATTAAATGAATTAGTGTCCCTAACTTCATTTATATTACCAAAGGAAATCATATTTTATATGAACAGTTAAGGACTGAAGATCGCATTTGCTATTTTTGGAACATTGGCATTTTTTAATTTCGGGACAAGTTTCATCTTCAAAACAAACCCTTAAATAGGCCCCTGTATGAAGGAATTATTTATAGAAACCATACCTACGATTTCGGCAACACCAACTTTATTAGCTATTTCGACAGTGGTATCAACTAGTTGCCTATAATTTCGCCTGTCCAAAGCCATTCTGTGTGACCAAAAGTGCTTGAAAAATGGGGGAAGTATTTCGTCCCTGATGTACTGGGGTTCGACACCGTCTGTGCCACAACATTGTTTGACAACCTTTGAGGAATAAAATATTGCTCTTTTAAAAAAATACTTAAAAATTTAATCAAATAAAAATGAAAATTTATGAAATTAAGATGAGCGAAAGTAATATTTTAGAAAGTAAAATTTCAAATCTAAAAATCTTTCTATTTTATCTTGATTAATAAAATGTATATAATATCTTGAAAACATTTTTTTAAAAATGAAAATATAATTAATTGAAATAATGTTATATTTATTTAGTCAGATATACAAATATTGAAAATGTTACTAGGTTAAACCTTAAGTACAATTTTCTTCATCTCTTCGTCAGGCGATTGAAACTCACGTATGAGAATTAACATGACTTCCCTGGTGTAATAATTGGCGTATTCAGCGTCCATCAATGGTATAAGGTAACCGATAGCTTTTAAGAAAGCAGCTAGACCCTAGAGATTTATGAAACAGGAGTTATGAATTAAAATATAAAATTATTCAATTCTTTTAGTATTGATATTCATCAAATTATCACTTTATATAAATTAAATGTAATAAAACAAAGTATTGCATAAGCTATTAAAATTGATATATAATTTCACGCATCAATTAATTGCCTAATAAATTTCAATAAAAATAATATATCATCTTTACCTTTCCTCTATGTGTACGGATACCTTTCCACAAAGGCTTAAGAACAGAATCAAAGGATTCAATACCATATGGAGTGGCAGCCTCGGCCAAACCGGCAAGTGACAAAGCAGTGATGGTTCGTACCTTTTGCTGCTCATCAACCAAGCCTTAAATGAATGAGTAGTCAATAAATTATTATTGGAAGGAATGAAAATTATATTTTATAAAATCTCGAATTTGATAGATTAATAACCTAATTAACGATTTATATTTTAGATAATATAATAGTATAAACTATGCTAATGAGCCCTTTAATATTTCATTGAAACTTCATAGGAATATAACTGTATTGGTCTGTTTTTTCTAACTCCATATCTTGTCCCTTTTTAAATCTCAAGAAAAGATCAGCTCACTATAAACATATTTTATCTAGGCGAAAATAACAGGTATACAAATTTTATATTATCTAACCATGTTCTATAATTTCAACCAAACTCCGCAAGTGGGGCAGGACGGCACAGCCCATTAGGATAGCTATTTGTTGCACTATTTTAATACCCGTGTGCCGGGCCTGCCAGCTCTTCTTACTTCCACAAACGGCTTTAAGGAAGGGAAGCAAAGCCGGAATGCCTAGAGCAGACGCCACAACTGCAAAAGCACGAGCAGTAGTGTTTCTAACATATTCATCAGCGTTATCAATGTCTGGTCGCATGACAGAAATCATAGTGGCAAGGCCAGCAGCCTTAGCTAAGTTGGAAATTATTTCGCGGCCCTCAACACGGGCATAGTAATCTTCATCTATCAACAGTGGTTCTATTACGACTAATATCTATGATATAAAGATTTGTACAATAATTAATATAGGTTAAACTTAAAATTCATAACTTTAATATCGTACGTAAGTTATAACATTTTTATGTCCTGAACCTATAACTTGCTTCATAAATATTCATTAAACTTTAAAAAATTGCTCAAAATATAATACCTAAAAAATATTAAATTTTAATGAAAAATTTCTAAGATATTTTTTATTTTAAATTAAACCAAAATTTCATAATTAATTAAACAACCTCGCCAAAGATCATTTAAAGGATAAATTAAGGAAAAAATTCCCTTTTAAATCAACAATTTAATAAAATATCATTGTTTAAAAAAAATCTTAAACTTTATGAACGAAAGGTCGAACTAAATCGTCAAGTTTGTAGAGAATCCTGTCAATGACTTTAACCAGCAAATGGCGTTCTTGATCTTCGAGCGTGGGCGACATAAGTAATGGAAGGATTTGATTAAAAAGAGGACCCGCCCCCAACTCCCGGGCTTTATCAGTGATTTGTCTCAGGGCAGACTTTATATTTTATTTTGTATTCAGTTTGATAATAATTAAGATAAATTGATAAAATATTATACTGAATACGTAGTGGAAAAATACGTTCTTAATACACATCAAATACATTGTTAATCCTGAATAAAATCCTTAGGCACTACTAATATTTATAAAGGTATCATAATTAAAGATTTTAAAAGTAACCTTTCTCATTGGAGGCGTCCCATTTTTAATTTTTAATAAAAATTTCATGATTTTTCGCTCCTTGGCCTCTTCTGGATTTAGAGAGTCCTCGTCAATGTCGATCAATAGTTTGTCGAAGTATTGTGAATCTTCAGGTTTAAGTAGCGGCAGCTCAACATCTATAATATTAATTTTATTATTTTTACTAACTATTTTTTTTAAAATTATTAACTCATAATATATGGGGGAAATTATTTTAAAGTAGTTTAATATTTTTTTATATTACCTTTAGGTTGCAAATCAGGGACAACGGCCGTTTTTCGATCTGGAGTTGCCTTTAATAAGAAAAGATATGTATAACATAGCAATGAATATAGAATTTTACAAGTCCTAGAATTTAGGTCAAAAAAATAAGGAGGCACCGATTTTTTAAATGTTGAATAGACCTGATTATTCAGGCCGATAATATACTAGGGTTTATTGATAGCAGTAAAATTTAATTACAATTATATACTAAGAATGCATTAAAATGATAAAATATTAAAATTGACTAAACGTGACAAAGTATTTCTATTGTCATTTTAACAATGGTTAATTCATAAATTCCACAGGAAAACGAATGTTTAATGCATTAAAATGATTGTATGTTGGATTAATAACTTTGCATTGGAGGTTGTTTTCCCATATATTTTTATATTTAAAATTTGATCAAAAATTCTAAAATGCGGGATTCAGTTTTTAAATTTTTATAAAAAAATCATGATTTTTGCCAACCCAATAATTGATCGATTCTATATATCAAAATGGACAATAAAAAAAATTGAACATTTTTCATGTATTCAAGTGACATAACTATAAGAAGAGTACGGGGTCCTGCCCTTCCATTTGAAATCTCTACCCATCCTTATGAGGAAATACAATTTTTTAAAAAAATTTATCCATTGAATATTTTTATAACTTTAAAAATTATTTTATAAACAAATGTAAATTACAAATAATAAAACCAAAATAATTTTGTGAGCCATTTAAATCAAATCGATTTACAAAATAATTATCAGTGGCAATTAATTACCAAAAAAACAAAATATTTATAATAAAAACAATTGAATTTGAAAAATTTTTTTTAAAACTCTCCATATATGTTTACAAATATATGCAGTTATTTGTTGAAAATCTATTAGATGTTATATTTGTTCTTAAAATTGTATGAGTTAGATTCGTTGTAATAGAAGATTTTGTCTGATTTTTTTAAGAATAAAATTAATTTTATAAACTAACGCTGTTATATGCATCGATTTATTATAAATAAAAAAACGCCTTATAATTTTATTATGGTGCATATTTTGTTAAGGTTGTGCACAAAACTTGTTTCAAAAGTCTTAAATTAAGGAAGACTATTGTTAAAGTTTTAAAAAAAATTTTTGGCCTCATTTTTTATTTTCAATTAAGGCTTATTACCTGTTTTTCAAAAAAGTTTTAAAAGTATTCGAATAATTTTTTTGACACAGGTTTTAAGTTTTCCCCACGCTTCACCATAATTTATTGGGTATAAATATGCACTGCGTTTATTATTAAAAATCGGCCTTTAGTTATACTTTTTTATAAAAATTTATAGAAAAGGCAATTAAAAATATACCCCAACAATAATATCTTGCTGTAAAAAACTTAGCGATATTTAATTATATAAAGAAAAATATATACTATCTACATCAAAATAATAGATAAAGTAATTAAGAAAAAATAGCTGAACTCTAATGTTATACATATAACAAAAGGTTTCTACAATACCTGCATGAAAAAGGCATTCTGTCCTCCCATAGGAGTTGGTGTGCCCATAAGCTTCCTGACAGGAGTTCTAAGAGGAACGTATCCTTGGGGAGGGGGTAACACTTTATAACCAGGGGGGAAAATAGTGTCCAGTTCATCATCAGTCATGGGTCGGTTCCGCTCATCCATCTCTTTTTCCCATCTATAAGCCTGCACCTGTTCAGGTGTCATTGACATTAAGTGTCCTTGATATATTTGATTTATAAAAAATATTTTTTTATGGGAAGGGAAATAATTTAATTATAATTGAAAAACAATACGATTTTATTAAAAATATTGGTCGAAAGTTGCTTAGTGGGAATAGTATATATTAGATTTGAGTGAAAGACCAATGTTGGCTATCGCTCGGTCCAAAGGTGAATAGCTAAATTTCAGAACGTTTAAATAAAATATTTTATAACTCATCTACTTGATTTCAGCAAAAACAGATAATGGGGTAAGGGCTATATTAAAAAAAATAGAGGTATATATATATATAGTCTAAGAAAATTTTTCCAGGTGGGCTATATACTAACACATAATTTTATATTTCATTCGCACTCTTAAAAAAGGAAATAAAATTTTTTTAAAAATATCGACAACATAAAAAATAAAGTTTGCTTAATAGATGAACAAAAAATTGATCTTATTTTTTTTATATTATGTACTTTCATAAATATGCAGTGTAGGTAAATGATATTTAATTTTAATTATGTTTTTAAGAAAGAAGGTAATTTAAAAATTTGGCGCAATTTTCATATCATTTTAACTGCATATTTAATAAGGATTCTTATGCATATAAAGTTTTATAATTTTTGTTTAAAAGGGGGGATATTTTTCCTTTTTTATAGTGTGCGTGAGAGAGGGGCAACTACATAAAATTTTGCCCGGCTAATCTTTAAGTCAAAGATTTGAAATGATTGCCTTGCTATATTTTTTAATATTATTTTGAGATAATATGATTTAAATATAAAGAATTAAATAATATTTGAATACTTGGAGTGGGTGTAGCAAGACCCATAGCTTTGATCCCAACCGGTGTAATTCCTGAAGGCGTGATTCCCCCACCCATACCAGATGGGGTAACAAGGCCTGCATGCCCAGGGGTTGGAGTCCTATCAAAGGCAGCTAAAGGAGTTTCGTCCCAGCGTGATTTACGTTTGCTGCTAGCACCCACAGGTGTATGTTGCTGAAGCTGCTGAGCAGTGGGTAACGTATCTTTCTGTGTGTATCATAAAATTAAAATTTTTATATTATATCCATATCAAATATCTTCAGGCCCAATATGATTTCAAATACCTAAACCAGTCCTAAAATTACAAACTTGGGCTAGATTTTTCAAAGTATATTTAAAATATATAAACCAGTTTATGATGGGTCATTCAAAATTCGTTTGCTCCCCATATTTTTAATTTCTTTTGAAACCGTTTACAAAATTATAAAAACTCAGTCTAGGCTGTAAAATAAGCAAAATCGGGATGAGCTTAAAAAACATTGTCTAACCCAAGTCAAATAATTTAAATCTAGGTAAGGCCTTAAAATGACCATTGCAGGTATAAAATAAATAATTTAACCAAAATGGTTATCTTCAAATCAATAAATTAAATTCAGAAGAAAGACTAAAAAGTATAAAAATGTAGACAACTTTGAGCGAAGGTTTAATAGGTGTAAGGCTAGAGGGCGTTCCTTCCAAATGTCTGCTATCTGTATCCTGGTCCGTCATGCCCCTGTCAGTTTTAGGCGTCTCGGCCCAGCCGGCCCCAGCTTTGTGACCAGGTGTTTCTACAAATAATAAATAAAAATATTAGACAATAAAAAATTCCATGATGAATCTTTTAATAATTTGTATCATATAAATAAATATCCAGTTAGTTTTAGTGTTTTGGTTAAAATTTATAGTGGCTAAGGTATACGCGATGAATTAATAAGCCATCATTTTTATTTTTTATTGAAAATATAGTTCAAGTCAAAAGATAAAATAAATGATTGCGCACAACATCAATATAAAAAAAACTCTGGAACTTAGATATTACATAATAACGACGATAATGTATGTAAAACTAAATAAAATTTTCTTTTTATATAATTTACAGATCAAATAATGTTAAACAATTTTTTTATTTTATATATCAATGCCATAATGTTATAAGTAAAATATATTACCCCTCTCGGTTTTTGGAGTTTCATCCCACCTATTTTTTCGAGCGCTTCCAGGGGTGGCCTGGTGACGACCAGGCGTGGCGTTTCCAAAATAATCTCCACTTCCAGGGGTAGTGGTTCCCATATGACCCCCCGGAGTGGCAGTGCCAGGGGTACCACCACCGGCTCCCAGCCCAGCATGACCTATAATACAATAAAGATATGTCGAATTTAAGTATTTAAAAAAAGGAAAAGTACCAAAATCTTAAGAATATAAATAAAATTTGATGGTTTTTGCAGGCTTAAAGGTTAATAAATTCTATTTTAAAGAATTTAAAAATTGAACCTCAATCATTTTATGTATAAAAGTACCCTAAATCAAATTAAATCATCATAAATTTTATCTTCATAACTATTATATTACAACAAAAAATTTCATAGAGAATAATGTGAAAGCCTTAATTTATAAATCTTATAAAGGTTTACATGCTCATATATTAAGGGAAGAATTAATAAATTATATCAATAAATATTAAGGATATTTAAATTTTAGTAAATAGTATTCAAATCAAAATGAACGAAATCGTGATCGTGAATCAAATATAACACCACTACTTAAATTTACGAATTTAAGTTAAAGGGTTGTATTTTCTCTTTTCGTGTAAAATAAAAGCATAATCTTCGCAAGATCCCTTGGGATTTGGGTGAAATATGGTAAATAAACTAAGGTAAACGTAACTAAAGAAGTGTTTAAATTTTAACATCCTAGTAATGATATATTTTTGGAGATATCAAGGGTAAATGCATGAAACATAACCTATTTTTAAGCCTATCGATTGTCATTCAAGATTTACTAAAAACTAAAGAATCATCAATAAATACCTTCTTGTTTTTTTTAAATATTATTTTTTTTCAATGTGGCGGTCCATTTAAACCCATTCTGTTAAAAATCCTTATAAGAAATAATGAGTTTCCCAGATTTTTATAAAATTTATAAATGTCCTTAGCTCCAATATCTATATCTGCAGGGATTGACGGGCCGGTAAACCTAGTGGGAAAAAGTAATATATTTAAAATGGAAGGGGGGGGGGGTAGGATTTTTAAAAAATAATATTATAAAATAATTTCTTTGTATTATTAAAAATTTGGAAATTACTTAACTGAAGCTAATTTAACTACAGTACTAAAATCTTTAAATTAAATTAGAGCCCCAAAAAATAGTTTGATTTAAATATCTGTTCATCAGTTTGGAACTAAAATCTACAACCAAAATGTAGCAGCAACCAGAACCGGTTCTTTTTAGAAAAGTTTTCAATTTGTCTGCTTATATTTCATAATATAATTATCATTTCTTACTTGATCCAAGACCTCATTTATTAACATTTAAACTGAATAAGCCTTTATATAGATAAAAAATTGGCAATTGGGCTTTGAAATTTTTTAGAATTACGTATAAATTTATATTGGGACTGATTATTGAAAAATATTTAGAATGGAAACCCTCTTTGCTCTAAGTTTCAATATAATTTATCATTTAATTCTGACTTCTAAGTATTTAAATATAAAGAAAATAAAAATATAATCATAATACAATAAAACTCGTTATTATAGTAAACTTTTCATTATTGCATTAACTAAATACAAATATCGGGCCAGAAGTTCATTGGTCAATGTTAAAAATTCAGTAATAGTACTTTGAATAAAAAAAACCAATTTCCTAAAGATGGAATTCCTAATATAATTTTTTTATAAAAATATTGATGATTGGTATCAAAACATTAGTGGGATGGTATATAGATCTAAAAATATGCAAGTTAACAGTTTAGGTTTAAGGGAAAAAGATAAGGAAATGTTACAACCCAAGGCAATTTGATATGTTCGAAAATTGAAGGAAAATAGGCATATATATATATCTATGGTATTACCATAGTTTGGAATTAATTGCTCAAAAACAATCACTATATTGTTTCAATATATGAGTTTTGCAATTAATATACATATCTCAAAAATCTTTATCCAATTCTGCCATTTTTAAGGGAAAAAAGACATTTGTTGACATGTCAGCAAAATTAGAGTGCAAAAAAGGTCCACATTCCAACAGATGTTATGCCATAGGGTTGTATGACAGGAAAAGATCTAAGTAAATGTGTTTTGCCGAGGGAACAACTATAAATTCATCTAAATACCATGATATTGAAGAGCTCATTAATTATGAAGGCCAGGCCAGCTAATACCATCAATAAAACCGAGCCTATGACCCAAAAATAAAGTCATATTTCCTTCCTATTCCTCTTTTTTGGTTTGAGTGAATATGACAATTATAAAATGAATTATAATAAAATAGATAAATTTATTACATTGTCAAAGTTATTGCTGAATATTAAAATTTAATGCACAAAATTAAAATAGGAAATATAATAAACATTTTGAGTTTTCTTCCATAAACGCTTTTTCCAGTTCGGAACAATCAGGCCCATGTTTTAAAATTTTGTCACGGGCAGATTCGTGCCAAAAAATTTGCCTTTGAAGGTCTCTAGAACTTGTATGTCTGGGTTTTTATAAAAAGAGATAGGCATATAGACCTAACAAATGTGATTGATGAATAGGACTAAGTATTTGTGAGACTTTGATATATACTTGACTAAAGAAATATGATCGTCATTAGCAATAATAACAACACAACCAAATAATAGAGCTGAAATGGCGATTTTGTTATCGATGGCAAATATTGCTTTTTTAATGTATTTACATCAAATTATTTTGGACCAATATTAAAATCAACATTTTTATACCATATAAATATTAAATAAATTATAGTACATTACATTTCAGTAAAACAATCATACACATAAATGACGACTTAAAGGGAGCTCATTAACTGGTTACTTTAAGGAATAGAGGTGGTCAAATTATAGCATTGTTTTATTAAATAAATAATATTTCAAATGATCAATTAAAACGATCATTATACCGAGATGGTCAAAATAAAGAGGTAGCCATATTAGGATTTTAATGTAAGAAATTGTTTACAAAAATTATTTCAGATTTTTTTCAATACAAAATACTAATATGATTTAGGGTTGTAAATCCGGTAATTAAAAATGCCTTATCAATTGTTATTAAACTTTCTTAAAGCGAATTATCTAAAAAAAAGTTATTAAAAAATTGAAACTAGGAGTTTCCGCCCATTCAAATTCCAACAACTTTCGGCCCATTTCACCAGATGGTGTGTCCATAATGCCCCTGCCCGGAGTGGCAGCATTAAGCATTTCTCTCCCTGGAGTAGGTGCTATCGATTTTGTTCTAGGAGTCATTTTAATTGGTTGCTAAATTTTCGTGAAAAAATATATATCATTATAAAAAAAATGTATTATCAAAATATTCAAAAATAACGCCAGTTTTACAATTTGTCTCAGATACCAATCTTATCACATAAAATTTCTAAGTTGTTATATTTTGATCCAAATGATTTTAATAAGGAAAATCTAAGATTAGTCTGATTCCAATGATTTAATATTTGTATTACTAATTTTGAGGATATGGCAATTTATAAAAAAACTGTTTTAATTAAAAAATAACGCCATATTTGAATTTTAGTGATTGTTTTATATTGTCATAACCATTGGGCAAATTTTCAGAAAATTGTATTAAGATATAATTTTTTAAAGTATTTAAAATACAAAATACTTGTATCTTGTCTTAAAAAGTATCTAAATAAAATACTTTTTTTAAAAACAATTTGCTATAATATAAATTTATAAAAAATATGAAAATAAATAGAAAATGGCAAATTTGTTATACAAGATAAATGCGATATAAGGATATAATTTTTAAAAATTTACATTATAATAATAAAAACAATTTCGGAATAAAAAAATAATTAGTAAATATCAATAAATCAACATAATAAATCAGGATTATTTTTTAATATTAATTTTTCAAACGATTTGTCGTTTCGCCTTTGACGATTTGGTCTTTTGATCATATTAGCATAGTTGAATAATCGTTCAACAAGGGCAGAGGATGGTATTGTGATATTTAATAAATACTTCTTTCATATATTTATAACATATTAATACTTCACCTGTCATTTTTCATATAATTTAAGACCTCTAATTCAATATCATTTACTATTATTTGAATTGGTTGTGGTATTTAAAACAAAAGTTATCATTATCTTCATCAATTAAAGAATTTGATGACATATTAATTCCAATATTATTTTTGAAAATAATTAAAGCTTCGTGTGTTATTAAATCCTGAAAATACTTTTTTCCTCTTATCAATCCAACGCATAAAGTAGGGATGAGAAACAGCGGCAAAAAAATATGGGTTTAAAGTTATTAACAAATTCATATATATTTTAAATACTTTATAAAATTTTCTGCAATAGCTGAAGGTTTGCAAAAATGCAGATCAGTTTGAATTAAATTTGTATTTTTTTAACATTTAATATTAGATGATTCTCAGTAACTACAGTTGATTTCGCCTTGTATTTTGTCAATCGCTAAAGCTAATAGGGACATTATAGCAATATTCTTATAAATAATGCATTTCAATATATCTTAGTTTTAGAAATTCTAATTTTTCACTAGTGGTTGGTAGCTCGCTTTTAAATTTTAATAATCAAACATGCTACTCTATCTTTCACAACATGGTATAACTAACAAAGATGCATCATGAGAAATTATATTTTCATGGTGCATTTAAAATTCCTATCCTAAAACTGCTTTAATAACATCTGCAGTTTTAGGCCTATACTGCATTATGGTAATGATGGATGTAAAGCGATTTAAATAAAATGATAGTTGTTTAACAAATTGCTCTACGATGACTAACGTTATATATCATACATTGTCTCAAAATATCTAAACTCGAATTAAATTTTTAAATAATATTTTAAATTTTAATACTATTTAAATTAACTAATATAAATTTTTTAAAAGCCTCTATATCTTTTTGAATAAAAATTGATTAAGATTTAGATATTTTTAAATAATTTGTATCTTAAGATACAAGATCCTTTCCAAAATTTTAAATTATATATAAATATCCACGATACTGCCCAACCCTAGTCATAACTAGTGTTGTTAAAAAGCCCGATTTGTGTCGCTTTTTTAAAATTGCCCAATTTAACCAAAATAAAATTGTGTAAGACTGGAAATTTTTCTAAGAATGGCAGAAAGTTTAGACCTCTTTATGCCAAATCTTGAAGTACATAATATTATTTCGGGTAAAATCTTAATCGGGTCGTTTTTTAAAATCGACCTAAATAGTTTTTTACACTAGTTATAACTAGTAGTGAAATGCTCATCTATCTACCTCATATGGTTTTCTTTTTTTTTAAATTATAAAACTGAAAGAAACAGAATCTTAAATTCTTGGTTAGGGTTGGCAAAAATAATGATTTTTTTGATCTAAATCGCAAAACCAAATAAAAATAATTCAAATTTTAATTAAAGAATTATGGTCTAAGATTGTAAAATATTGTTTTTTAATTTCAGTTTAATATTATCTTGCAAAAAATAATACTAAAGGGAACAAGACAGGAAATTGTTGAGAAATTAAATAATGATATATGTTGTAATTTGATATTTTTCCAAATAGAGCCGATGATATATAATAAAGTTATTTTAAAAAAATTTAACTATCAATATCGGTGTCGAAAGAAGGGCAGATGATATTGTTGGCTAAAATAATTTTATAGTAGAATTTCCTGATTCAAATAAAAATGCCAAATGAAATTTAAACTAAAATTAGATATTGCTATTTCTCAACCTAATAATTAGCCCAATTTAAGATTCTTAAAGGCATATTTTTTATTCATAAATTTATTTATTTTTCCATTCAGTTTCTTATTATTATTTTTGATCTTGAAAACAATGTATCATTGTATAAAAAATAAAATAAGCATAAAGGTAATCTATTTTTAAAATATTCATTAGATATAAATTTCGAAATTATACAATTAAATTCTAATACCAATGTCGATGATATAAATATTACTTGTCATTTTTAATATATGTTATTTCATAATTTTACACACTGATTATTTTTTATATTATAAAGAAATAAAAAATTTTTAAAATATGTGTATTTGATATTAGTTTCGTTTTAAATTTAGAATATTATATAATTTTTCACTATTGCGATTAGGATCAGCAACTATTTTTTTACTGTCAAAAATTGAAATAAAAAATTTTGTTTAACAAGTGGTAATTAATAGCGAAATTTAGTTATTTAATTTAGATTTTGCTTATATTAAGTCCTTATCTTTCACTATTTAAAATTGATTTAAATCTAATTGATTTAAATCAGCCAACCCTATTCTTGCTTTTCTGGTGCAGACGGATATCATCTTTAATGTGTGGATATAAGAACTAGTTTCAAAGTGGATTTGCCCATTGTAGACAGAAGTAAGTGCAGCTAAAATTGTGGGTGGGCTTCTTTTAGATTACACCTAATTTCTTAACCCAATTAGATGGAATTTGAAAAGGTTTAAGCGTAATTATCATATTCATATACTGAAAAGGGTGATGTGCCTTAGTATATGTAAAAGGTATTATAATCTGCTTTTGAAAATTTTTGAAAACAAGGTTAAGCTGTATTCTTTCACAATTATTTTTGTATTTTAATTTCAAATGCCCCGTGGAACTCTGAATAAATCCACCTATGTAGGGAAATGATCAGATATAATATTAATAAATTGATTCCGTCAAATCTAGTAGTATTAACTTCATTAGGCGTCCAAAGGTAATAATATCGAAGGGTAAATGCAGTTTGCAACGAATTATCTATGAAAATCGCTGATCAAACCTTGTTGACTGCAAATGAATATTCATTCTTTGAGTTTTAAAGTTAATAAAGTAATCTTAATTTTTATATAGTAACTGTTTACTTTTTAACTTGATAATAAGCTGAGAAAGAACTAAAAGAAACGGTACAGTATATATATATATATATATATCGTAGGGATGTACCGATATTTCACATATTTTAAAATATCGGTTATCGACCAATATTATAGAATTTTCCGATCCGATATAAAATGGCGTCTTTAACAAAAATAAAATGTTATAAAATTTTGAAAAAAATTTATATCTAAAATTATTTATTTTTATTAAATAAAATCGAAATACATTTTTATGTATATTTTTTTAATAATAATAATTAATTTACATTCTTGCCATATTGTTATTTATTTTATGCATTCTATTTATAAAAGTGTGCGATAATCTCTTCAGAATCTGTTTTTAGTGAAGCTGGTGATATTGACAATTACCATCGCTGCAGGCTGATCTCTGATAAGCTGGAAATTTTGGTATTTTTACAAAGAAATCTTCGATATATTAATGTAAAATATTATTTAAAATATTTATTTCAAATTTCATAATATATTTATTTATTACTTATTATGTATATAGATTAATGAAGTGATTTAACAATAAAAATATTTAATATACTTTTAGAATTGCAATTGAATTGAATATAAACTATAACTGATCATTATAATATATCTAAATGATAAAGTTAAGGTATAATTAAATTATAGATGTTATACTAATAAAAAGTATATTAAAAATTAAAACCATTGGTATCTTTACAAAATACAAAATTAGATATGATATCGGATCGGTAATCGGCCGATATTAATATAGGGAATATCGGATTGGCCTCCAAAAAGTGGTATCGGTATACCCCTAATATTTAGATATCAAAAATAGACTTTTACCGAATGGGCAAAAGTTGTTTTTAGCAATGAGTCTGAGTTTGTATTAAAACTTAGGATTATTTGCAAAAATGTGGTAACCAAGGCAAATGAATCACTAAATCCTGATTGTCTAAGCCAAATAGTTAAATTTCTGAAAAGTATCATGATGGGAATGTATCACTGCTAATGGTGCAGGTAACCTTACTGGAATAATTAATTGCAAAATATGAAATGATTAATATTTTGGAAAATTATGAATTAATTTATATAATATCGAATTCAAAATTTATATAGAAAATATAAATAATTTGAGAAATTATTGTTGTCTTAAAATTTAAGACTTCTGATTTAGAAAAATGGAGGAGCGATAGACACAATTTCAGATATATTAGATCTAATATCTATATGTTAAATATAGATTTGATCAATGCGATAATGATACATATATTAGATATTTCCATAAATAAGTTGATTTTTTAAAGCGGCTAACTCAATATTTTAACGAGAAAAATATTGTATAAGCCTCGAGATTTCGTTAATAGATATTCTAACCTTTGTACCACCTATGAGCAAAATTTTAAGGCTTGCATAATAATTTTCCTAATAAAATATTGA